TGAAAATGGGGCCATATACATCAGGGGTACCAGTACTTGGAGGGTCTAAATTGATGGTTCATCTGGATAGGGTAACCCTTCAAACCATCAATCCATATACTTAGACCCCAAGTACCCACTTGAAAATGAAAAAACTGCATTATATTACCGTATTACCCAATATGTCTAGCTACTTGCACAGTCTAAGTAGAACCTTACAGAGGTTGCCTAAAATGCTGGTACCCCTGAATCATCTATTTATAGATTGATTTTCCATGAGATAAACCATCCAGCTATTGGCAATCGGGTACCCTCATGAACTGAGAAACCTGCATTAATATAGAGCTTCATCTGGCAGTATGTCAAAACCTTGTACCCCTGGTGAACATCAAAATAGCTGGTAAATGGATGTTCATTCCCCTAAAAATGGTATCTATAGGTATTGATCCATACCCATCTGAAGAAACATCGGTCACACCCCAGTGTCACTACCCCACCGATCTTCATCCAGGCGCTTTCACGGCGCACGAAACTTCCTGTTTCGCCGCGAAACGCGCCTCTGGGCGCAGGTCCGGCCTCGAACTGGCGAGATTTTCCGGAGGGTTTTGGATGGTTTCTGATGATGGTTAAGACCTGGGTTAATGATAGGATGGTTCATGGGGTTTATCTTGGGATTATCATATTTGTCAGGCAATTTCCATGTTTCATGGTGATTAAGGTGAGTTTGATGCTGTGGCTGACCGAAAGATTATGTGTTTCATGATGTTTCACTTGGGCTTAATTATGTGTGGTTGGATTAAGAGAAGGACACATTAGGATTTCCAAGTCCATATGTTGAGAGCCTCCTTTGCCAGTGAGAAACAATGTTTACTATGAATTACTACCAAAAATATTATTATTGGTCAGCCTACCAAGTCGACCAATGAAAAACAGTGAGCGGGATTCATGAAAATTCGCTACCCTCTGGTAACTTCACCGGGCGCCAAATTGGTGAAAATGGCCAATTTAAAAAACGCCAACAATCATCGAACTAAATGGGCCATCTATATAGTATATATAGCAAACATTAGCAAACTACAAGAAACTACTTGAGGCTTTTTTTTTGAGATTCCCCCAGTGGTTCAACGAGACTGGCTGGGGAAAAGAGGGGCCGGGTCGACCGGGTCGACCGGGTCGCCGCACGGTGGAATGGCCATGCATCCAGCGAACTTCTCCAAGTACCTATCTGCAGGACTGTTTTGCTGATGGCACAGCGATTCGAACTTGTACTGCTGAAATAAAGAACCAATCGAGTGAACTAGAATAACTAGAATTAAAGGAACCAAATTATAGCTGGTCTGGTTGACTTATACTAATTCATCTGAACTGGGGTCATTTCGGGCATGATTCCCGCTACAGTCATCATCTATGGCCAACAACTTTGGGATACCAACTCCATGGGGAGATGTTTCACGGTCCATACAGAATATACCAAATGTTTAACCAAAACTATGTCTGTATATACATATTAGTTTTATTTGGGTATGGATTAATTACATGATTACATCAAATACATGTCAAATATCATTAAGTATATGTTGATATCAGTGATGTCAGATGCAACTCAGATATTCAGTTGTACTACCCTCCAGTAAATTAAAATAGACCCTGGCAGATAGGGCTTGGACGATTATAGTGTCCATGAAGAATATTGAAAACATTGGTGATTTTCAGGGTCCAACTGTTTATACTGTTTAATTTACCGGAGGCCAACAGAAATTATGTAATAGAACCATATATCTGGCTAAATTATAATATTTCACTAACCTGAATAGTTCTGCCATTTGGGGATGATTCGGTCGCGACGTGAGGTCGTGATGAAATTTACCCAGATATATCATTGAACAACTTTCCAGGTATTTAACCAGGATTAGATCACCAGCCCAGAACCTAAAGCTGATCTCCTGTCTCGTGCTGAAAAACCGCCCCCCAGCCTTTGCCAAAACTAGGTCAATGACACATAGCACGCCCGCTTTTTTTTGTTGCGCCCGCTCACCTCGCCCCCCAGCCTTTGCCAAAAGGTAATGACAATAGAGGTACCTCAGCCCCCAGCGATGGGAAACTCCTGGGGTCAATGGATGGCCTTTGGATTTTAGAAAAGCATCGGACTAAATGCGGGAAATTCATGGAAATTCCAGCGATGTTTGAGGGTTTTGATCAAGTTAGTCACTTAAGTTTCTTCCAAGTCTAAGGGAAAACCTTCCCATTGAAACTCGCTGTTGATTTGGCCAACCAATTCAATTCCTGTTAAGGGATTTCCTACGTGGGATCGATGTCAATGTTTGGGCTCCTGGATGCGCAAGACTTGGCCAAGTTATCGGCGGACAGTTCAACTGGGCTCCATCTCATACACTCCGAGTTCCTTTTTTACGTCTTCAAACATGGCAACCAGATGCAACCAGTAACTTAATTTCATCACTTCAAGGTTCTGATTTTAAGAAAAGGGCCCTATCAGACTTACTTCCACTTGTAAAAAGTCTTGTAATATGGCAGTGTGTCAAAACCTTGTACCCCTGGTGAACATCAAAATAGCTGGTAAATGGATGTTCATCCCACTAAAAATGGTATTAATAGGTATTGACCCATACCCATATCTTAGGAGATAACCACCATTCTTCCCTCGGCTCAGCCGAGCTTTCGGGCAGATGGGAGCCCTTTCCCAACAGCTCTTGATCTCCTCGCAGCAACATGACTCCAGTGGAATCTCCAGAGCAAAAATCGACAAAGGCCGTGTTTCATGTAGCAATTTAGGGAACAAACGCACACACAATAATAATAATATTATTATTATCATTATTATTATTATATATATAGTAATATATATAACATATAAATAAATATATAACATATATAAATATATAAATTTATAAAATAATAATAATAAAATAATAATAGTAATAATAATATATATATAAAATAATATATATATATAATATAATAAATTATATAATAATAATGAATAATAATTAATAGTAATAATGAATAATAAACATAATAACACCTGGTTGGTGGTTCAACCCCTCTGAAAAATATTAGTCAGTTGGGATGATTATTCCCAATATATGGAAAAATAAAAATGTTCCAAAACAACAACCAAACACATATATTTGTGCTACTGTACTTTCAGATATTTTCTATTATTTTGTGGTACTGTACTTGGTCTGAGTTGAAAGTCGACGATCATCAATCAGATCGTGCAGTGCAAATGGGTTATCAACATGCTGGGTACAGTACATGTGTGTATAAATATATATAAATATCACCCATACACGACAACATATTCAGCTACATTGGAAGGATATGAATTGCTCCTGCTACATATCGCTGTCTAATGGGATGAGATCTTTCCTCAGTCACCTTCCCTGAAATGGTCCTCCAATGCTCCAGTGTCCAGAAAATAGGGATGACACGTGGTTATAGTCGACACATTTCATGATTCTTCAATCCCCTTCCATCCCTTTCCATGTGAGGCTCTAGATGATTGTAGTTCTATCCTTTTTTCGAGGCTTCGAACTTACCGACGTACAGAGAGACAGTCCTCCAATGTTTCTGTATTGGATCTGCTGGTGGAGATATCTGCAGACTGCAAGACCTCATGGTGAGACATGGGAATGTAGTTGAAACACCTACAATGTTTACAAGTTTATTTGACTACCTAAAGATCCTCCAAGTACGGAGAAAAAATGGATAGATATAGATCATGTCATATATTCTCACGGTTATTTTGGGACTTTTAACAATTGCTATGGGATGTTATGGGCATTTGGCGAGTTTAGCGATTTCAAGCAACCCAATATGTGACAATGGTTTCCATTGGATATATATATATACACAATATACCAACATATATGTATGTAAATATATATTATCTATATACAAATATATAACATGCATGACAAAATAACCAGTCCGAAGCCGTGAATGTGGGTATGAGTCAAAATCGTGAGGGGTCTAGTGCAGAAGTGATACTCCCTGATCAGCATCAAAGAGGTTTTATTGGCATCAGCATCGCTCATCAAACAGCATCAAGCAACAGGCGCAACGCGAGGTTTCCAAAAATTGTGAACCCCCAGAGCATCCAATAACCGCCAACACCAGTCATTTCGAAGAAGGGATCCCATTGTCTTGCAGGTTTCTAATTTGCAGGAAAAGCCCTCAACAACTCCGGCGCAGTTCTGTTTTCCAGCCAATCAAGCCATCTGAAACACAGCATTGCGAGAGGAAAGAGGATGGGATTGTCAGCAGTGTCAAAATTCGGAAGACATCAGCGCCGCGAAGAAAAACACCGACAGATTGGCAGATCTCCCGTCTTGACCGTCTTGAAAGGGAATCACCATTTGGATAGTAGAGCAGTAGAGCTGTGTGATATATAATGTGTGATATGCTTTATATGTATATTATATAAAATATTATATACTGATTTAGAATCATATTCCGCACATTGAAATGACTTTTGGAACTCATGGATTAAAACACCACTATCGGCCATCGGCCCAATCCGGTTCTGCTTCAATGCTTGGACCCACAGAGAAGTGGGACCACGCTGGTCGGACTAAAACGCAGCGGCGCAACTGCTGAGTACGAGAAGTTCCAATTCATAGGACTCTTGGACAGGAAGTTGCACCCATTTCTCCTGGTTGGTGGTTGAGCCCTAGCCCTCTGAAAAATATGAGTGAACGTCAGTGGGGATGATGACATTCCCAATATAGGGAAAGTCATAAAATTCATGTTCCAAACTTCCAAACCACCAACCAGTCTCCTTTTTCCAAACGACACTTTGATGATCTGTGATGTTGAACCACAACTCACTCCTTAATCCTATACAAGATGTGCCTGCGATACATTCAGCCCCAGTCTGCGGCCAACCTCCAGTTAAATAAATTCTGCCTCTGATCCTCTAGGCAAATCATAAGGATTGCCAAAGTACCATGGACTCCCGAGGACTCACCACAAATGTCATGCATGTGCAGTTCAAGAAACACTGAACTGGGAGCCCCTGGTATCCAGATGATCATCTTCCGCAAACATTCAGATGTGAAGTCAGGCGCTGAAATGGTTGCGTGCCGATTGTCCTGACAAAAGGACGGTCAGGTTGCAAGTCCTGGATCTTCCGTTGCGGATTCCGCTGGTTGACCCAACAACTGCTGGATGTTTTGGATCCTCCCATGCGTCCCATGCCACCAGCGCCTGCATCCTTGGGGTAGGACCAAATCCTTGGCGAAACAAAAAAACGTCACGGACAACTCACAGAGGCTCTTCTTCACATCTGTTCCAAGATAGTGTCTGAACATGGGCTATTTCACCTATTTTAAGCTCATAAAATGGCCATGTTGATAGGGAACCTTATTATCTTATTGAATTAACTATTATATGGTATTTTGGGATACCCGATGAGCAATTTTCAGAGCCATCTCAATCTGTTGCTATAGAACGCCCTTTCAAACTAGCTCTGGTCGCCTGTCTCCCACCAAAAAAACATCACTTGGTTATCTGAAGTTGTCTGAAAATAGGCTTTCCCAAAAAGTGTTCCAATGTCTACTGTACCCATCATCATATTCCCCTGATCAAATGGCCACAAAATGTGGTATCCCCCATTTCCAAGCGGGCCCAAATCCATTCCAAACTATTACGTATTGTTGTTATTGTTATCCATTATTCAGTGGTTAAATGTGGCTCAATCCATGGTCTTGATATATTTTGATGCTTAAATGCATATGGTCCATATGGTTGTTTCCTAATATACCGGTACCCCCAAATCATGCATTTTTAGTAGGATTTTTCATTATAAACCATCCATTTTGGGGTACCCCCATGACTTAGGAAACCTCCATATTCTAACTCCTCCCATTTTGCTGAAACCATCCCCTACAGTTTTTCCACCCTTCGCGAGTGTCATGGGGATCCAAAAGATGGCGCACACAGCCCAGGGCAACATTGAAACGCCCAGCAGCGCCTCGCCGACTTAAACATGGCTCGCCATAATTTTTCACAACTCACAATCAAACATAGGGATAACACAGGAACTGATGACATCAAACATGAGGATTAAACATGAACTGATGAAAGACAATGAAGAATTAGTTTCTAGAAGCATCAACAATGGAAATGAAAATGGAGGAGTAAATGGACAAAGCGCAGTGGAAATTCATAGCTTTCCCAGTTTCAGAAATGGAAATATCTGATCTACACAGTGTTTTTTTCCACATGATGAATTACTGGACGGTAACCAAACTGGGGATATCAATGATATCAACGATCAGCAAAAGTGAATTGCGTTTAGCAAAAATGTTCAGCAACGAAAGCACGAACAAAAATCCCATGTGGGCAAGGATTTTCACTTGCTTCATGTGGAGTGACCAAGCAAATGACAACCAAATCTACCCACTTCTAGGGTGGAACAGTTGAGGGAAAATGAAAACAAACAAACAACATCTCAAAGCAGTTTTGGTTCAGTTACTCTGGAAGGATACCACGGAAGTAAACCGCGTACAGCAAATTCGGAGTCTTTTCAAAATACCTCTGCCACTGCAAAGCACCTGCAAACCGCATTTCAAACTCATCCAACTAGCCCCAACATGTTTCACATCAGAATTTGATCGAAGTCATCATCCATTTCCAAGCGCCAGCCGTTGCTCCAAGAAGTGACCGTACACACAATGCGGACAAGCGCAGGGTATTGCCCCTGTTTCGGACAGGCGCCTAGTAATTACCCTCGGGTTATTTGACATAGTTATGGAACATGAGCCATTTAGTTCGATGACTTAAAAACATGCTGATGTTCCCTAGCAAACTGTTGAATTATACTCAGACCCCTCCAAGAATCTAGAAACAATTTGGGGCTTTGACCCATTTTCCCGCCTTCCGCAGCGCATCGACGTTTTGCCCTTGCCCCAAGGCGTCCCCTGCATTCAGCGAGTAGCCAAAGGCCTGCCACTCAGGGTTGCTCCCAACACCTTAGACAAAAAAGGGGATATCATATCAACATATGATATATATATATACACATAATATATATACACATAATATATATACACATAATATATATACACATAATATATATATAAACATATTATATTATTATATATATAGACATAATATATATATATATACACATACATACATATATATATATATGTATATATATATATATATGGATTTGTGCATAGTCAGAACTACCATGAGCAATTTACATCAATCTACCCCCACTGTGATTCACCCAGGTGGACCTCAGAGAGGCGCCCGGCCAGGGGTGCGCCGCAGATGGAAGAGATGATACCTTCCAATGCAATCCTGCATTGATTCGGCTTCCGCAAACAGCAGATTTTCGGTATTTTTCGGTGCGCGATTTTGGAGGAAATGGCTGGGAAATGGCTGGAAACCAAACCCCCAATGCTCGGTGCTGGAAGATGTTACCAACATTTACAAATTTACCACCAAAATGACCCAGATGCAGGTAAATATTCCATTTGGACCTTCCCTATCTTCCCGCTGCCATCCGCTGTCCAGAGCGCCAAGATCTGCGCACGGTCGTGGCTATTTTGGACGATGTCGCCACACATGGGACGCAAAGCGGCAGACTGCGTCCTGAAAAACAAGTTCTATCAAGTTCCATCCATGAATAATGTTGAAACCAACATGAAACTAATCATACCAGGGATGGGGATGAACAAATTGTTAATCAAATAAATATGTGTATATATATAATTATATATGTATAATTTTATATGTATATATATGTGACTCAACCATCAGCCTTTCTGCCTTGTAGCTCAAATGCAACGCAAAGATTTGTTGTTTGTAGAGTCACAGTGACTTTGTTTCAATGTGAAAAATCGATTTGCGAAATCAATACTTCCTTCAAGGCTACAGCAACAATCTAAAGATGCGGTCAAAGGCTTTTCACACAATGGAAAACAATCCACGGTAAACGTAAGCACCATCAGCCTTCAAACTGGCACGCTTCAATCTACAAAATCTATCCTGGATCTTTAAGGTTTTCAGGGGACCACAAACACATTCTCCCTTAGACCCTCCAGGTACACATGTTCAAATGGATAAAATGCCAAGAAATACGGGTACAGTATCTGGTTGGTGGTTTCAACTCCTCTGAAAAATATGAAAGTCAGATTAGGATCAGCATCCCAACTATTGGGGAAAATTAAAAAAACAGGTTCCAAACCACCAGCCAGGTATATATTGCCCAATTATTTCCGGCTGCTCCTGGGGTCTAGGGCCTTCCTTTTTTCAAATTATTGTGGGTAGCCATCACCAGCTCCGAACGCAGCTTCCCGAAGAAAGAACGGTCCAGGTGCCAGTGAGCTGAAAGAGAAACATAATCGTTGCCACAAACCAAAAGCTGCTCTCTGACCATCGCATCACCTTGGATCATGGTTCGCCATGGGTGGATTTCACCAACCATGTTATGATGTGTTAAACGTGGGTTTCAGCAACAAATTGGGTACTACCGCATGGGATATGTGTTCACCGCAGGAGTGGATGGGAAAATCTACGATCGGCCCAAGAGGTTGCTGACAAAACCAGATATCAGGCCCACCGGCAGTTTGCTTTGACATAGTGTATCTAAATCACTATAGAAACACGGTTATAGTTATGGTCCACTAACTATGTCTAATCAGTCTAATCAACATGAGATACTGTATATATATATATATATGTATATAATCAATCCAATTATAGCTGTGCAAAGGCATGGTCATAGCTTTGTTGTGACCCTTCGGCTCAGGGGCTGCAAAGAAGAAAACCATCCCCAGGACCACGGACATGAAGGCAGCCAAGCACCTGCAGTTCCATGGTTTGATTCCAACCCCCAGAGGGTCATGATATATTCAGCATTCAGCTGGGTACGAGATATGGGTATGGATCAACACCTATACATACCATTTTTAGTGGGATGAACATCCATTTACCAGCTATTTTGATGTGAACTACAGGGGTACAAGGTTTTGACACACTGCCATATTTTTACGTTGAAGATCTATATCTATCCGTTTTCCGAGTTCTTCAACCATCAATTGATCATCGTTTTCCTGGTGCGCCCTGGTGGGCCCCTTTTTTGGGTTGGTCCAATGGTGGGACTTCGCCATGGGCCAAAGTTTTGACCCATGTGTTTTTGGGATGTTTTCGGGATACATCCTAAAGAAATAGTGATGACAGGTAGATGAAATATGTAGTCTCCCTGGGACACCGGCAGAAACCAAGTTGGCTACGACTTCGTTGATGGAGGGGGATCCAAACTTACAGAAGCGGAATCATTGTTTGAAAAGAGATCATCATCCATTTTGCATGGTAACTATCCCCCCCCATGTTGGTTGGTCTATTTCAATACTTGGTTAAGAAACATATTCCCATGGTGGGTAATAATAATCCCACTATATATTCCAACCAGGTAGATTAATAACCAGGTATTTCATGACTATGATCAACCATCAACTGACCATCATCTATCAAGATCTCTCTATAATATAATTAATAATATATATATATGTATACCATCATCTATCAAGATCTATCAAGTTTATATATATACATATATATCCCTATATTTCAAGTGATTAACGCACATATTCCTCACATTCATCATTGCATCCAGCTGCGCACCTGGTACAGAAATCTCCAAAACTTCTTGTGGACGCTGCTTTGACTCAAAAAGACTTGGTGAAATCAGACCCCTCAAAATGAAATCCATCTGAAATCCATCCATCTCTTATGAATATACCATATATATATATACCATCATCTATCAAGATCTATCAGTAAAATCCATCTCTTCAACTCCCATCTTTCAGGTCAAGCGCCACGTATTGACCCACGGCCCGGCCTGCCGCTGTAGGGCCAGCACCTGTGGAAGCGATCTCCCAGCACACCGCCCAGGACGCCTGACATCATGCCACCAAATCCTGCAAGGGAAAAGCCTTGGCTCGTCCCCTAAACTGAGGTTACACCCCGACATTCTTAATAGTATATATATATAATGGTGTATATAATATATATATATATATATAATATATATATATATATATATAATGGTATATATATATATTATATTGTATATATATATATATCATGGTGTATATAATATATATATATGTATCATGGTATATATATATATATATTATTGTATATATATTATGGTTGTTAGAATGTAACATTGGTCCCAACATGTATACCATGTCTCACATGTGGCTTACAGGCCTTGAGCCATTGCCCAACAATGCAAAAGGCAACAGTGCGCACAACTCCGGCATCAACAGTTCATACAACAGTCGACTGCCATTTTACATGGTAGCGGAGCAGTGATCCTGGAAGCATCCAGGTGAGCTCCAACAGGCAGAGGGCTTGATCCCAGAACACTGGGGGACTCTCAACAACAGCTGGAGCAACAAAGGGTAGCGGCCCAACACACCACCACTGCAACGACAAGGAAAGGAAACAAACACAACAACAAAGCGCACAGGAAGAGGGCTTGATCCCAACTACACAGTGTGGGGGACTCTCAACAACAAGGATGGCAACGGCATATGAGATAGGATCGCCAACAGCAGGAGAAGCACAAGCAGAAGCCCTAGCATCAACACACAGGCTGAAGTTGAAACCTCCAACATACGATGGAAACTATGCAACATTTGAGGAATGGAAGTACAAGTTCTCAGCGTACATGGGCCTACAAGACAACATCTTTCCACAACTGCTATCAAGAGCAGAACGAGCAGCAACAGTGCTCACAGATGCAGAGCTGCTTGGTGCAGCAACAACAATAGAGGAAGGAGAGAAGTGGACACAACTGTGTAACAACCTCAAGTACATCCTCATCAACATCACCAGCGGCCCAGCAGCAACAATATGCAGACAATACCAAGACGCAATGGGCTTGGAAGTCTACAGGCAACTTTGCAACAGGTTTGCAATACCTGTTGGAACAAGAAGCATAGGCTACCTCACAAAACTACTCAAACCCAAGTTCGACACCAACAACTTTGAGGAGTCCTTCTCAACATGGGAATTTGAGCTTGCACGTTACGAGCGTGACAACAATGCACAACTACCAGACCAAGTGAAGATAGCAGTTCTCATGAATGAGACAACAGGACCACTCCAACAACACTTACACCTCAATGCCAGTGCAACACCAACATATGCTGAGGTGAGGACAACAATTATGGAGTACTACAGGACCACCACGGCGTTCTCAAGACTTCAACAACAGTCGTCTTCAGCAGTCAGCAGCAATCTAGGAGGAGGCCCAGCTCCAATGGACATTGGAGCAACATACAAAGGCAAAGGAAAAGGAAAAGGAAAGAACAAAGGAAAAGGATTCAACAAAGGAGGTCACAAAGGAAGAGGATACCAACAAGGAAAGGGCTACGGCGGCTACGGCAGTTATAACAAAGGAAAAGGCAAAGGAAAACAACAGCAATGGTATCAGCCAAAAGGAGTAGAGAAAGGCAACAAAGGAAAGTCGAAAGGAATTCCCAACAAAGGAAAAGGAAAGAATCCAACAGCAATATGCTACAGATGTGGTCAACAGGGCCACTTGGCAAAGGATTGCCGAACAGCGGTGTACAACATGACAGAGACACCGCAGGAACAGAACCAGGATGGAACATCCCAATGGTATGACCCAAACAGTGGGTACGACAACTACTGGTACAGCAACGACCAGTCAGGCAACTACAATATCCAGCCAGTCCAACAACAACAACAACTAGCTTTGCCAGCGCCACAAACCAACACGCAGACACCAACAATACAACTTGTGGGAGCACTGGGCCATCAGGCAGCAAGTGCCCACAATGAAGCAACCACCACAGCTCACGCAGTGCAGCAGCAGAGAGGAGACAACGAGGTGGACATTATGATCGACAGTGGAGCAGCAACACACGTTTGCCCAACATGGTTTGCACCAGACACACCACTGTATTCACTACAACATGGACAAGGACCTAGGTTGAGGACAGCAACAGATGAGGATATCCCAGTGCATGGCTACAAATGGGTGTACATGCACAACACCAACAAGCAAACAATAGTTGTTCCCTTCTATGTGTGTGATGTGACGCAACCCATCATGTCAGTAACAAGACTGGCAGAACAAGGGTTCAACACACAACTCAACGAAACACCAACAATCACACACACCAAGGGATTCAACTCAGCACTCAAACAACGAGAAGGCCTATACTTCTTGCCAGTTGTGCTGATCACATTTCCAGCCAACTTGAGACTTGAAGTCAGCCAGACAGCAGAAGGAACAACAGCAAAAATAGCACCAGTCACACTGACACCAACAGGCATGGAAATCCTTCGCAACAAGAATGACCTATGGACGTTCAACAGCCAAGGTTTCTTGGTAAGAGTCCACAGGACAACACGCAAGGCATTGTTCATGCCAGACAGTAGATGTCCAGTTCCAACAGAAAGGTTGGAGAACTACAGAAGAACAATCATACAAAGACCGAACAACAACACAGAGGTCATCGAAGAAGCATACCAAGACCTCGACAAGAAGCAACAGAAGAGGATCATACAAGGAAACAACTGGACAGGAGAAACATGGTTCAAAGTGAAACGTGGAACAGTACTTGCAGGCAACATACCACCACAACCAGCACTTCCACCAGCCAAAGAGCCAGCGACACCATCTCAACAAACCACAGCCGACCAACCACAAGCACCAATGTATCGACACAACGTGAAGAAGCCTCTCACAGAGGTAAGGCCAACAGACCAAGCAATGACCGCAACGCAGCCATATCAAACAGCAATTCCACATCCAAAGGAAGTCAGTCCAACACAGGACTATTGGATCAAAGAAGGTCCATATTGGAAACGTGTGCATGTTCAACCAAGAAGGGACATGTACATTCCACAACAAACAGATGATGGACCAGATGTGACAAGACTGACAACATGGAGACAAACAATGGTGAGGCCCACAAGTGGCAACAGAGGATATAGAATAGATGATGACTGGACGACAAAGAGGAGAGCAACACTCGACATAGAGTGGACAGGCTCAACAAATTTTGAAGAAAACGCAGCGTACAAAGATGAGTTCATCACAGATGAGCCAGAGGAGCAACAAGAAGCCAAGAGAGCAAAAGGAGTGCCAACACCACAACAACCAACAGAACAAGAAAGAAGAGAACACGAGCTCACACACCTTCCCTACAGAAGCTGGTGTCCAACATGTGTACAAAGCAAAGGAAGACAGGACAACCATCCAAAGCAAACAAGCAAAACACCAGTGATCCAAGTGGATCTGATGTACTACAAAGCATTAGGAGAAAAGCAAACAACATCAGTCCTTACAGCAGTGGACGTTGAAACAGGCATGTGTATGGCAGTCCAACTTGAGGACAAGACGCAGCACGTACAATACCTGTCAGTTTGCCTTCAACAATTCCTGATGGAATGTGGCAGAACACATGCAATTCTCAACAACACCGTTCTTCAATCAGACCAGGAAGACTTTATCATCTCCTTGCTCAAGATGGTGGCAACAGCCATGGGTAGCAACATAGCAGTCAGGCAAGCACCAGCCTACACATCACAAGCACAAGGAAGCGTTGAACGTTTCCACAGAACACTGATTGGCCAAGTTAGAGCCCTCAAACTCCAACTGGAGACCAACTATGGCATCAAGCTCAACAGCAAGCATCCCATCATGCCGTGGCTTGTCAAACACGCAGCATACCTGCTCAACAGGTATTCCATTCACTCAGATGGAAACACAAGCTACTATAGACGATGGGGCAAAGAACACAAAACACCAATATGTGAATTTGGTGAAACAGTTCTCTACATGCTACCAACAGCAAAGCAGATGCCAAAGATGGAAGCAAAGTTCTACCCAGCCATCTGGCTAGGTAAGGACAACTCAACAAACGAGAACATACTTGGCATCAGCAACAAAGTGGTCAAAGCAAGGACCATTCGAAGACAAATCAAGCCAGACAAGTACAACAAGCAGTTGATGGACATCATCAACTCTTCGCCAGCCATGATACCACCAACAACACCAAGCATTGTGGTACTACCACAACCTGCTGCAGCAAAGCAGCAGACAACAACAAGCACACAGACTCAGCAGAGTCCACAACCAAAAGCCATGGTACAACCACACGCTACACCACCACCAGCACTTACGGACCTTCCAATGGCAACAGCGCCAGCAACACAGCAAGCAAAGCAAGCACTTCCAATGCCAACACAAAGCAAAAGAGAAGTAACAGATGAGATTACACAAGGCAGCTCACCAAAGCAAGCAAGGACAACAGAAAGAGCCACAGCAGCCAGCCGACCTGACACAGCTCAGGAGCCACCAACAACAAGGATGAGGATATCACAAGTCACAGTCACAACGAGGAAAGGACAGAAGATAGAAGCAACCTCCAACGAAGATGAACAGGAGATACAAGCTGAAAAGATTCTCCTGGAACCTTGGGTGAGCAACACCGAAGGTTTAGAAAAAGAACAAACAACGGAAGGAATGAAGCAAGAAATCAAGTCAATGAAGGAACAAGGAGTGTACACAGAGGTACACATAAGCCAACTTACACCAGAACAACGCAAGAAGATCATCAAATCAAGATGGGTTCTTCGACAGAAAGGCAACACAGTTCGAGCACGAATTGTAGCAAAGGGCTACACTGAGGAGATCAACGACAACGACGACATCTTTGCATCAACACCAATCTTCTGCGTGCTAAGGATGCTACTTGTCTTAGCACTTTGCAACAACTGGATTTGTCTCACAGGAGACATCTCAACAGCCTTTCTACATGCCGCAGCAGCAACAGCAGATCTTTTCATGTATCCACCAGCAGAGTTCTACAACGCCTTCGACCAGATCGTTTGGAGACTCAACAAAGCCATCTATGGCTTACGCAGCAGCCCAAAAGCATGGCAAAATCACCTAGCAGAGGTGATGCAACAACTTGGACTACGACGACTTGTCAGCGAGCCCAACGTTTACGCAACACCTGGAGGAGATGCATACATACTATGCTACGTCGACGACCTGCTCTTCATTGGACAACAGGAGACGGTTCACAAGCTGTTCAAAAGCATTCAGCAACACCTTCTACTCCGTCCAACAGGAGAACTCACAGTCGGCAACACCATCAGCTTTCTGGGTAGAAACATCTGCAACAAAGGTGACTACTACGAGATCAGCTTAGCAGACAGCTACACAACACAGCTGCTGGAAGAAGCCAGCATGCTCAACTGCAACTCAACACCAGCACCAGGCAACAATACTCTGAAAGCAACATCAGAGATGGAACAAGAACTCAACAAAGAAGAACATGCAGCCTACCGAAGAATGGTTGGCAAGCTACAATGGATGACCTACACAAGGCCAGACATTGGCTTTGCAACAAAGGAGCTTGCAAGAGCTCTGACACAACCAACAACAGCAGACCAGCAGAAACTGAAACACTTGCTCAAGTACATCAAGGGAACACAACACTACAAACAATACATAAGACCAACAACCAAGACACCAACAGCTGAAGCAGTACCAGACATCCAAGTCTTTGTCGACAGCGACTGGGCAGGATGTGCAACAACGAGGAAGTCAACAACAGGATTTCTGATCAAAGTCTTTGGAGCAACAATCCACTATGGAAGCAGGACGCAGGCAACAATCGCGCTGAGCAGCGCGGAAGCAGAACTCTACGCGATCAACACAGGAGCAACAGAAGCACTCCACATCAGCAATTTCCTGAAGGAAGCTCTCAACATGAAGAAGATCAACATCCGCATACACACCGACTCATCAAGCGGAAAGAGCATGGCAACCAGGATTGGAGCATCAAAGAAAGCCAAACATATCGAGCTCAAGCACCTTTTCATACAACAACTGGTCGCACACGATCTTGTGAGGATTGTCAAGATCAACACGACCAATAACCCGGCCGACATTTTCACCAAGTACATCGCGACAGAGACGCTTTTGCGTCACATCAGTGATGTTGGCATCAGCACCCAGCGTCACTGAGCAAACAACAACAAGCAACAACAACAGTTTCACTGCAGCATGCGTGTTCATGTGTGAGCGCGTGCACAACGTGCGAACATCGTGCGTGGCATGCACACACAAACATACAGATCCAGAGAGCCATGGTGCTGACAAAGGTCAGCAACATCCTCTATTTCACCTACATCCTCGTAACATGAAGTATCACTACATGATCAACTATGTCATATACTTCTTCAACATGATGTGCACTACATGATTGTGGACGTATTTGGCAACATGATCACGTTTGACAACATGTCGACTTTCGAGTACAGTGTTTCAACAGTTTTCTTGAATTCAACATGTTTTGCATCTGAGTTGACAACAAGTTTATTGATCAAAGCCGTTTGGTTCAACAAGACCTCGAGCTTCAACATCGTTGAAACCTACGGCAACAATGTCCCTAGTCAACAATGCCTTGACAACTCCACCTGTGAACAGGTCCCCACACAAGGTGACCTTGGGCAGCATTGGCCTGACAACAAGGGCCATTCAGATGAGCGCGACCAACAACCCTGAAGGCCTCAACCCGGATGCCTTCAACATGATGATGGAGAATAACAGTTTGGAAGCATGGTGGATCTGCCTTCCAACAGAGATCCATCAGTCAGCGCTGTGCCCAACAACGAACCGACTCTTGGGGATTAGTGGCAACATCCTCATGCCAGAGTTTGACAAAGCCATCTGGTCAACAGACCCAGGTGCCGCGGTCACAACATGTGCCTATCATGCAACAGAGTTGCATTTGGAGTCAGCAAATCACCACACGTGGATGTTGACATGTGTGGTTGTCAACAAGCTGAAACAACTCCAACGCCTGGGCAACAATACGGTCAACATCTTTAACCGTGGCTACGTTCGACCTCAATTACAGATCCAGGCAGGCAACGTCATGCGGTTCACAGTTGATGAACAGGTATCAACACAGATCTGGGAAGTCACCTCGTCAAGGGACAACACTGTCCTTCATCAGGTGACAACAGAGCTGTCTTGGTCCAACAACTACATGTGGACCTACAACTACGTGTTTCCAACATCGTTGATCTCTGCTGAGAACAACGGTCATTTCATCTGTTTTCTCCAATCGTTGGAATACTCTGGGGCAACAGTGCTCCAACAACTGTCCACTGATGAGACAGTTCGCCTATGGGGATTGCTGTCAACACCTCAGAATTGGCGTCATCTCCAACAAATCTCCATGGGAGGCAACAAGACTATGGAGAGATTGAGGGGCAACGCCAGAGTGATCGAATGGATCACAGCCAACACCAACATGGAACAGTTCGTTGCGAAGTACAACCAGTATCGCAACAGTTCCAACCCAGAGAACAGAGAAGATGATGAGGACATGCCTCACAACATCGAGGACAGCGTGGAGGCACGGGATGGCTGAACAATTCAGCAACAAAGGGTGAAACTGCAACATCCTGGAGTCAACACTCCAAACCAACAGAGATGATGGCGACGTCAACATGGAGTGCAGCTGACAACATTAGTTTCCGATGAATAGATGTACACTATCTCAATAGACAACATCTTTCTTCAACAACTGATGAATGTAAAGTGTACAGTGTCAACATTCTTAGATTCGCCATGCAGGCAACAATAGCCAACATGTCGAGGGGGCGTGTTAGAATGTAACATTGGTCCCAACATGCATACCATGTCTCACATGTGGCTTACAGGCCTTGAGCCATTGCCCAACAATGCAAAAGGCAACAGTGCGCACAACTCCGGCATCAACAGTTCATACAACAGTCGACTGCCATTTTACAATGGTGTATAATATATATATATATTATGGTATATATATATATTATATTGTATATATATATAATTTTGTATACCCATCCCCTCTGAAGGTCCTCCATAGAGAAGGATCTGGGCGGCCTCCACGTCACTGTAGCCATTCTGCTGGAAGTAGAAGGGCAGAAAGGCGAAGGCGTGCCATGGCACTCCACCCGTTACACCTCACCGCTAGCCAGGCGTGTCGAACACACATACCCTCTGGTAAATTAACATAGCTATTGAAAATGGTTATTTATAGTGGATTTTCCCATTAAATATGGTGATTTTTCCATAGTTGTGTTAATTTACCAGAGGGTATCCCTCCTTCCAACAAACCGAACGTGTCGAACATGGAGGTCCATGTTAAACCCAAATGATGCCTAATGTTGACTGCAAATGATAGCTAAGGACCTAGTGTTGACTGTATCATATCGTAGAAGTATCTCTCAACATTTTGTATACCAACAATTGGAACGGTTTGCTAACGATTACTAGTGATGGTCCATGCGTGTGTCCCTGGGCCACCGACTTTGATCAAGGCCCATATTCATTATCATTATCATTGCTGGCGACAAATATAGTTATATGTATATATATATATATAAATACAAAAATATATGTACATATATATATATATATGCATTATATATCATTATATGTTATTCATATCCCAGCTTCATTGGTCGAATTTATCAAACCCATCATCTGGCTGCCATCCTCCACTCCGACCCATCTTCTCGCGCCTTGGAGGACCATGAAACAGAAAGATGGTTTCTGAGCCGCCGTTCGCACCACGCGGACCTGGGAGGAATGGATTTATCATCGATTGATCATGTTTTCAAACATTTTGCAGTAAGCAAAACTTGCTAAGGTTACAACCCTTGCATCACTAAGTCACTTGCATCTAAGTCGCTGCTAGCGGCAAAATTCTAAGTCGCTTTTTGCTGGTCAACTCCACAGAAAAATTCTGGTCGCTTCTTGTCTGGTCAAAAATAGAAATAAACCAGCAACCAGAATGATATAGACAATCCAGCTGCATTTTGCCATGGTATATATATATATATATTACACGTATATATATATAGCAATGAATAAAAATATTAAAAATAATAATGCTGATAATAATAATATTCATAACAATAATTATAATGATCAAACTAATAATGATAATTAAAAATAATAATGATGATTTTAAATTAATAATAAATAACAATGATAATAATAACAAGAAGAACAATAATAATATGTATGTATATATATATATTACATTATAAATTATATGTATAAATTATATGTATATGTGTATATTATTTTTAAATAAATATATATATATAGATAATGTATATATATATATATGTATATAGTTGTGGCATCAAAATCACTATGCTGATGGTGTACCTCTTGAAACGCTTGAAAAAAAAAAACCAGCACTAGCGACAAATTCCAGCCGTCTCACCTGCTCTTGCAACCAGGTCTGACCCTTCACGGGTGCGGAGGCCGACAAGTTCGCAGGCACCTGATAGTGGTTATGAGTGGTTATTGATTGTTAATCACAGTTCATGATGGTGATTATATAATGATCTATATATAATGATATATATATATATATAATGATATATATAATGATATATATATATAATGATATATATAATGATATATATATATAATGACATATATATATATATACTGATATATATATATATTGATTTATATATATAATGATATATAATGACATATATATATAATGGTTAATAATGGTGATTAATAGTTTATAATGGTTTAGCCATTCTTTTTTTAATGGGATTTACCCTCTGGTCGTCAAACGTGGTTGGCTGGAAAATCCCTTATAAATGGAGCTTTCTAGCTGGGAAAATCATCTATATCTATAAATGATGAACTGTCCATTGCCACGTTTGATTACCAGAGGGTACTATGCTGCTGCAAATTAAATTATGAATATGATGGAATTCAATGGAAAGTGGGGGGATGCTTGAATCTTGTATTTCCATCATTAGAGAAACGTAGCTTCTGGTTCTGCCGTCGATTGTCATCATCCCAGAAGATAGTGATGGACAATGAAATCTGAGATAGGGATGGAACATGATGAAAATACAACATACTTTGTTGTGGGGTGGGGGGAACAATCAAATCTCCAAACATATGTTGTGGAACGCTTCCATGACAGGCGAAGCATCTCCAGGTCTAACTCTAGACTGTGCTTGGAGAAGTATCATCCATCGAAAATGGAGCGTTGAATAATACTGAAATAACACATATCGTGTGGATTTAAGTAATATCCCAATATCGCAGTTTCCAAAAAAAAGGGGTACCCCCAAGTCATCCATTTGAATCGAATTTTCAATCCTACACCATCCAGCTATCGGGGTACCTCCATTTAAGGAAACCCCCATATATCCCCATATCATACTCCCACGATTCATTGGCTCAGGCTCAAACTTATTTATTGGTAACATGCACCCCATACCCTCTGGTAAACGTTTACATAGCTACATAAAATCACCATCTTCAAGAACGGCAAATCAACTATAAATGGACCATTTTCAATAGCTATGTAAGTCATTACCAGAGGGTAATCATGGCGAATATTCACCATGACTCCATGAAAAGATCATCTACAGTATGCCATAGTAGCTTCGTCGAAACATTTCTACGGAAAATACCCCAAAAAGGGTCCACCTTTAGATGGGAAACATGATGATCAACCACGATTTTTTCCTAGGGGGTCCACCTAGAGCAGTTCCAACTGTTCCCATGTCCCATTTGATTTTGCCAATTGAGCATCAAAACGCTCCGCATTTCTATCCCCAAATTCTCGATGGCTGAAACCTCGATTAATCCACACATGATATGATATAATTAATATGATTATATTCAATTGTATATAAACATATATAATATAACTATGTATATATGTATATAATTATATATATACATATATATATATGATCATATATGTATATATAGTTAAATGATGTAAAATGGCCATGAATCAACCAATTTACAGGAAATTTCAACCTCAGATGGCAACAGAAAAAAGCACAACTGTGACACCAGTGAGCTGCCTGTGATTTCACCAGCCATGCAGTGATCAAAGACATCAGCGCCACCACACCGTAGATCACACCTGGGGGAATCGAACCGCGAGCCAGCTGGGGTTGTTGTCATCCAAAAATGGTCATCAAAAGCGACACACAAATGACATGGGGATCATTAATATGATAAATTTGTAATGCACAACTATCCAATTGAATTATATTATCATATATTATCATATCTTATCATTCCCAAAGACATGGGATTTGAAGGCGGAGGTTCTTCTGCATCACTTCTAATTTGCCCATGGCTAAGGTTGTCGTTGTCCAAAGCCTCCCTCATTTCGTACAGTTCTTCACCAAACCACACATCATATCTTGGCTGAAATACATTCAGACACGTTTGTTTGCTGCGGTGTGGCTTTGACTTCTTGAGTGCAATCCCTGCACTTGCTCATATAGTGATATGGGTCTCAATCACATAGACTGTTGGAACAAATCCTTTGGATAGTACAAAGTGGAGTACTGGACTACGTCTACCCTTTGGTAGGTCAAACCCATTTCAAAAAAGTGTCCTGAAAGAAATGGCCTCAAAATGGTATACAGTATATGGATGTGTGTCAACATTGCCTGCCTCAACAAAAAAAATACATGGTTAAACAAAAAACACATTCCCCAGCCCAAAAAATGTTCGGTCCCCCGAGTCTGAACCGATTCAAATTGCCATAAGCCACCTGGGCTATCATCCATTTTCAGACACATCCAAATCATATCATGTTGGATATATCTGGGTAAATTATCATATTTCACTCACCTGAATAGTTCGGCCATTGGGGGATGATTCCCCTTACTAACCATAATTCCAGGTTTCGGTCGCAGTGAGGTCGTTATAATTTACCCATATATATATTATATTATATATATATTCCCACTATAAACAACATGATATTCCTAGATATTCCTAGTAGGGCTGGTTTCATACCACATGGTTGTTGGTGAACTCCCCATTTTTCAAAACCCAGGAGCCTTCCCAATGGGGTGGGATGGTGAGATTGGGCATGGGGCATCCTCTCAAGACACTACTTTTTCAACAAGTAAAATGCAATTAAAGCAATTAACAAATGATTTGTTAAATAACTATATCCTGCTTACCACAAAATTGGATTTCTGAGCAGGGTGTTGTTTAATGGGGGGACCAACCTAAAGCTTTATTGCCAAACATCTTTTGGAATGTGGGTGTTGATTAATCCGGTTTTGAATATGAATATGAATTTGTTCATTAATTATGTATACTACCATTCAAATCTATTATAGTCCTATATGAATTCCATAAAATCGATGGAATCCCTTTGGTACACCGGAATTTCTTGATGGGGAAGAAAACCCCTATTGTTAACAATGAATTCCTTTGTATATCTGGGTACATTATAATATTTCACTAACCTGAATTAAGGCAATTTGGGAATGATTTCCCTTACTAACATTTACTAACCATGATTCCAGTGAGGTCGCAGTGAGGTCGTGATGAAATTTACCCAGATGGATGATTGTTTCATTCCCTCCCCACTCCGCCGCCTTGGCCCCGGCCGAGCGTCGCCAGCCGCTGGTGCCGGCCAAACTACTCCGAGCCAGGGCGGTGGTGACGAAGGTGGAGACTTCTGCCCTGCTGATTTCACCGAGAATGGGAAGTTCCCATGGGGATTGATAGGGATTCATAGCTGGTTCATGAGAGCTAAGTTGGTTATGAACTCCAATCACTAGGGCTTATGGGGGTATATTATATATTCTATATAATGTCTATATATATATGTACTTAAAGATACTTAAAGGGGATCATAAACCAATTTATAAGTGGGGGACACCACCCTGTAGGTGAGCACTATGCTAAAATCGAGGTATATCGAGGTATCTTAATTAGCGCATGTTACAAACCGTTTTTTTAGTGATTGCCAGATTAAGAACCATTCGACAATTCTGTGATCAGCCAATCATTTTCCCCATATAGTTATACCATGTTATACCAACTAAAAAGTATCTGAACATAGTTTATCAGAAATAATTCATTCCCTGATAGTTTTTTGAATATGCATATAGAAAGTTAAGAGTGGTTCTTTCTTCAGGTTTTGAACTGTAAGATTTCTCAAATCGGATAATTCTGTTGAACTGTTCGGCGTTTTGGATCCTCGCTACAACCGACTCACATGTCTTGTAGCCAGCACCACACCACTCAACAGGAAAATCTTGGGCAGTCTTGGAAATGTTTTTTTTCTGACCATCCGCAAAGGATTTTTTAAGTCCCTCAGGGAATCCATGCAATCTCTGCTAACACTACAGATACTCAGCCAAGACAAGAAGATAAATTTGCAAACAAGAAATTCATCCATTTCGTCCATTTTTTTGCATACACTGGTCCACCCAAACTTCCGTTTACCCGATCTTGATCCAGTGTCCCTCATCGATTTCTCAATATAATATATCTTCCATGTTCATCTCACATGTCCCACATGAACCACTTGAATTCTGTCCATTCTATTCCCCCAAAAAGATCCAGTTCCCATCATCATCCATGTTCCATGACGGTCCCATGGCTGGCTCCATGGCCATGGCTGGGTGAAGCCCTGGGACTTTCCCATCCTTTCCCCATGGGATTTTCCAAGGCACAGCACGCTACACACGGATTTCATGATGCCAAAGGCTGTGCCGCGCTCGTGCTCCGGCACCAGGTCACAGATCATGGCCTGGCCGATGGGCATCACCACCTGCGCTTGGACCGGCGACCGGCGACCGGCGGACATGACCGGCTAAGGTAGCCAGGCTTGGAAAGGAGATGTTGATATGTTGATCTTTGATCACTTGGAGGATTTAGATATATATTATATTATACTGGTTGGTGGTTGAGCCCTACCCCTCTGAAAAATCATGGAGTTCGTGAGTTGGGATTATTCTTCCCAATATATGGAAAGTCTTAAAATTATATTATATAAAATTCTGGCATTCCAAAGCACCAAGCAGTATAGATTTAGATGATCTTTTGGATGTGGCAACCCCTGGAAATCATAGGGAACATTGAACCAACATACCGGAACCGCTGTTCTATCTACGGGAAAAATCTAGATCTCATCCGGATCAGACCCTGCGAGACCCTGCAACACAGGAATACAGTACTTAGACTTAATTGATATGTTCAGATATTAATTTAGTTTATAATTGATAACAAAAACATATGTTAGTTAACTGTTAGTTGATATACTGACTATAAACATGACTAAACATACGTAGGCTAACTGATTGATTGACATATCTAGCAGATCCGCCATCAAGAAAGACCAATCGTAGCGCAAGTAAAGGACAAAATTCTCAGTGGTTTTGGCACCCAGCACGTGGGTCAAAGCGTTCCAAAGCTGCAGGAAAAAAAACAGTGTTTGGGGGGAATATGGGAAAAATCATCTAAGCAATTTCCTTTACTCTATACATATTGTATGTCATGGTCATTTTGACGATCAACAAACCAATTTCTGGGTATTCCAAACTGGTCTCATATTCAGAACTAGTTTTATTTAACTGTTTGTTCCTAAGGTATTTTACAAATTATCCTCAAACATCGTTTGCAGGAAAGCCACCCATTTAGTTCGATAATTTTCCCATATTTGATCACCGGAGGGCCGGAGGGTATCAAGATGATTTTCCTAGCTCAATGAACATATTTGGGGATAGGTCAAAACCTATATCATTACCATATATTTTGTGGAATTAACATCGATGAAGTAATTAGGGGAATAAACCTATTTTTACCAATTCTTTGGGGAATAAACCTATCATTACCAATTACCTATTATATCATTCACCAGCCATTTTAAGGTACCAGGGGAATCCAGGGGATCCCAATTTTTGGCGGCATCCAAGCCACAGCCAGGGCCGCGCCGATGAACAAACGCATCAGGAAATGGGTAACAAAGGACGAACCTCGGCCGCCAAAAACGTGGGTTTTGCCATGGATTTTGTATGGTGATTCATAGGGCTTTCACCAGGCAAGATGGGGATATTGGATGATATTAGTAGCTTTCATGGTGGATTTCTTCCATATCATTCCATATCTAAATTACTTTTCTGGAGGCTACGGGTAAAGGACCCTCCACTTAGCTAAGTTTGTTCATAGGTAGGCTAGCTGTTAGGTTAATAGGGTGGATGTCGAACTAGTTAAATGGGTGGAACAAAACCCCAGCTTACTTATAACAGTGAGGGGCCACATTGTGTCAACTAGATTTATATAATATGAAAAAATATTTTTGAATAACCACCCTTCCCAGAATCCCTAGTCATCTTGCCAGTACAGTAGAGCATGGGTCGAAATTGATATTATTACGACTGGAACACATAAAATTGGAGATGTTAAGCATAATTATATACACAGATTAAACTGTTTGTTCTCTGTTTTTGCGGAGAGGGGACTGAACGTTTTTTAGCAATCCCCACATCGCAAACCATGGAAAAACCTCGATACTTTGCTTTCTTGTTTGGAGGATATTATATATATTCTGTATCTCTATAGCTTAAAATCAACCTAGCATTCAAGGTTACTATGGTTGCAGGCGCACTACACCATCAAAACTTCCGGATGCAGGACCAAGTTGGATCGAATGTAGGGTCAATGGACCCACAAACAATTTAAACAATGGAACATAAAAATATATAAAAATGGCCTTGTCCAAATGGAGGTGAAAAGGATATTTCAAACAGAACCCGGTCTCCAGCCGTTTGATGGGGATCCCATGTCGATGATATATCCCAGGCACTGGTAGACACAACCAAGGTAAACATGCCCCACAAAAGACAACCTCAGGACGGCAAAGGACATTGGCATCCAGTGCTGGCTCTGCTGACTGTTTGAGATGCTTGAAAAACATTGAAAAACTGGATGTTCTTGGCACATTCAGGATTTTTGTTGGCTCACTATACTGGAGCTAAAAAACACCCACAGTTATGGGAAAAGGGGCCAAACTAAACTCGTTTCGAAACCGGATGGTGATCCCTTCGTCAAATTTCCGTTCAACGGCGCCATCACCGCCATGTCCCGATCAACCAATGGATTTAGGGATACTTCAGTCGCAAACAACCCCTCCACTGGATTTGGTTGGAAGCCTCATTGCAGTAAATCCTCACGTGTACATACCATATATTTAGTTTTTTTGTGGTGGTGAACCATGTTTCTTTTTCTTCTGGGAATCTTTTCGGATGCTTTCCAATCTTTCCATAGACTGTAAATGAAGTTCTTCTGCGTTCCCCCATCACGAGTCATTTTTTCTTACCCATGATAATCCATGGCCTAAACGAATGTTCCATGGCAGCCAGCTGTATTGATCTGCGATCACCCCATGTTGATCTGACTTGGAAGATTGGAAGATGGTGGTAAATACCCTGATTTCGATCCCACAAGAAACATAGGAACGGTTGAATTATGTTGAATTTATCACTGTCCTTGATTGTTTTAGTGGGATTACCAACTTCTACATATCTTTTCGGGGAGTCCATCACAGCATGGTTCCCTTCACAAGCCGATTGTTGTTTCTTTTGGACACCCAAGCAAGCCTAAAAACATTTATGCCATGCCTAACTCTTGTGATTTGAGGATTTTGAGGATTTTCTCTCCATACCTTGAGATGATTGTGGGTTGACTCCATCCTTCTAGGTCAAGGTTGCCGAGTTTTTTTCTCCATTCGTGTCGCGTGGATAGGTTGTCCTGATCTTTTCGTTTGTCGACGCCCCGTTCTTGTGGTTTAATATGGGTATGTCTGAAAATGGGGTATACCCCCAATTATAGCCATTTAGTAGGGATAATGATCATTAACCATTGGGTGTAGGGGTACACTATTTTCAGACAAACCCATATCCAACACAGGTGGATAAAATTCTCGTTTGAAATTGTGTGTTAACCAATCTGTTTTTAATCTGCCCATCAATTTTTTCATCATCCTCCGAGGTAGGCTTGACATTCAAAGGTATTTCAAAGTACCAACCAGAACACTTACCCTCTGGTAAACTAACATAACTATGGACAATCACCATTTTCAATGGGAAAATCCACTATAAATGGGCCATTTCCCATGGCTATGTTAAATTACCAGAGGGTAGATCCTCATCTTCCCCCTTGCGAAACATGAATTTTCCATGCCACGATCCAGTCGAGACATCGGCGCCGCTATCAGATGTGGAGAGGGATTTCAGAGAACTTGGTCGGAGAATATTAACCCTTACATCAAACATCAAGACATATCAAGACAAAAGAAGGGAAAATATGGGAAATCATTGATGTCATGAGACTTGAATCATGTCCGAACCGACCCCATTGTTCAACATCCCAAGCAACCCAAGGCCAATAGGTCCCTAGGGCGATAGTATCGCATCATCGAGCCCCAAAATGGCAAGGCCACGGAGAATGCGATGCTCCTTAGTGAATCGACTGGATGATACTGATGATACCCACAGCTGTATGTTTGAGCACGGTATGTTGATAACCAATATGCTCATGTTATTGATGTATCTATATAAGTGGGGATATTCTTTTTTCATTAGGGACAATTAAATAATTATATAATATTATGAATCTATATAATATATTATGTAATAATGAACTATTCATTGATTTAAGGGTACTACCTCTATGATCCCTTTTTTGTGACGTCGTAGTCAGGTCGTCTTATCGTGCATCGGATCGATCTACCACGCGAACAAAAAAAACAACAACTTTATTCTCTGAGAAATCTTGGAATATTATATGATATAAATCTATATAAATCTATATAGAGATATATACTACTATATATTACTACATGAATAATACTGCTTAGCATCTGGAAATAGAATGGAACCATCAAGGGTACAGTGTTTTTCATCTGTAAATCTATTTTCGTCTTTGGCCACTGGAGAACCCTTGAACCCGGCTTGGTACGCCGGTTGGGCAATGCATGTTGCCAGGCACCAACCCCCAAGATTTAACAAGAAAGCCATGAAAAAGTGCATGGATGGTGTGCTTTACATACGGAGTGGAAGACCACGGTTTCATGGCTTTAGGCTATACTTAATTCAGCTTTGGTATCTTGAAGTTCAATGAAGGTGGTTATACAATGTTATACATGTTCATACTCCACATACATAGTGGTACCCGTCAGTTATAAGTTGGTTTATAAACCCCATTAACTATAGTTATAAGCACCATAAACCATAGATATTGGAGATATAAACCAACTTAGCTATCTATGGGGCACCACTATGTATCTCCAGAAATTCATATCTTGCCATCCCTTTATGGATGACCAGTGTTCCAATGCCGATTTGCACCCCTGATTCTCATCGTGGCTTGAGAACCACTCATTTCTGTTGGATACATTGCCATTTTGCTTGATTGCATCCCCAGTTTTGTACAACCATATCTGGTATATTCCTGGTATATCCTGGTATATTCCTGGTATATCCCGGTATCGCTAGTTCCGTTGTTTCACCACCGCAACGGTCTCCGTGTTCACGGTCACATGCCCATCTTTCTGCGGCCAAGGCACTGGGCAAAGCTTAAGGCGCCCAAATCACGCGGACCCACCTGACATCGTCGCCGGGGTTCCCCTTTTTGAGTGGGGAGGCAACCAAAAATACCAAAAATGTGTACTTCAGTGGGAATTGAATTCGCCAAGAATGGTATTATTATAGCACTGAACATGTGAGAAGAGCAATACATTCAATACATCTTCACGATTCTTCAAGCGCCCCATGCTGTTGGACTCCATTCTGGTTTTCAAGGCTATGCGAAACATATTGGCGTTGATGGTTTCGCTGCTTCTCAACCAAATGGGATAAGATCCGAAATGGCTTTCACATTTTTCTGGAGGGATGGCTGTTCGATTGCTGAAATTTTAGTACAGATGTTTGCGGAGCCTAGATCCATAAATTCTGCCGACTAAGGTACTGAAGCGGGCTCTCAGAACCGCAAAACGGACTTGATCATCCAATCAAAATGATCCAATGTCAATGACGCAGCAACTTGGAAGAGCTATTCTTCTTCCTTGTGCAACTTCCATTAAAGACCCTTGTGCAATGGAAGATGGCCATGCTTGAAATTTCCCAACCAAAACCTAGGCCTTGCTGTCACAGCAAGAACCATTTGATGGTTTCCTCCAAGGACCCAAACACGACTGCATTTATGGTGCTTGAAAACATGCCGCGAGGGCCCTACAAATACCGGTTCTACAATGATACCTTCTGGGCAAATTATATATCATAATTCGCAATTCAGCAAGAATCTCATGAATTGACAAATCAAGCACAGACAGTCATTTGCAGGCCTTGGTTGGCCAGTGATGTCGCCATTGTCCCATGAAAATTGCCACAAATTGCGGGACCATCCAGAGAATTTATACAATAAACAATCATAGACATAAATCATATTGTTGGGATACCCCCCCAAGCTTCCTCAATCCCAACCGGTGACGGCTGCACAAGGGGATTTTGTAGTAGAGCTTTTCTAGGGTATAAGGGGCATGACCCTAAAGTCTGGGATTTTGTAGAGGGACACTTTGGGGTAGCAGTACAGTGTGCATCTGACTCATGTTTGTGATTTTGTAGGCGTTTTAAAGGGTACTTTTTTAGGATGCACTTAAGGGACCCCTGTTTGGGATTTTGTAGAGAGGTACTTTCTTAGGGACGTTTGTTGGGGATTTTGCAGAGAATTCAGAGTCTGATTTGACCCATGTTTTAGATTTTGTAGAGGGCCCCCTCCACTTTTTCACTTTGTATCTACAAACTCTCAGCCTCCAACCCCACCCTAATTGGAGATATTGGAGAGATGTGTTGGGAGTCTTTTCCAAGTTGAACCATGGGATTTGAGGCTTCGTCCACCTCCCATGCCATGCCTGCATTAAATCCTCCATCGCTTTGAAGGTGGCCGGCAGCAGAGCTTTGTCTGCCGCATCCACAGCACACGCCTTGCGCCACCCGTGGGGCCACCCGTTGGGCGACCCGTGGTGGATACAATCACTGCATCAATGGATATGTCTTTTAAGTTTCTTAAGGGGGTTTTGTGGATCAATAGGATGTTGATGCATGGATCTAAGTGATCTAAGGATAATGATATGTTATACAATCAATATGAACTGAGGTGTTTGTGTAGATAGTAGAGACGGTGCTTTTCAGGTAGGTGGGGGCTGGCCCCGACCATTGGGTTGCGATACACCCACATTTGGCGGCCAGCGATTGTGTCTTCATCTCGTGTCTCGAGATTTGTTGTGTCAATCCCAACGCGAAATTGCGGAATGACTATGACAATGACATATTTCAAATAGATATACTAGTGTTGATCACCAAGGTAAAAAATAGTTATATATATATATATTGTTAATACATACATATATATATTATTAATATATATATATTAATATATATATATATAATATTGATATATATATAATTAATATATATATAATTTATTAACTAATTAATATATCTATATAATATCTACACTATATATATATTGTTAATATATATATATATATATTAACAATATATATATAGTGTAGATATTATGTATATATATATATATATATATTGTTAATATATATATATATATATATCAATATATATATATATATTTACATACATTATTAATATATACACACATATATATATGCATAAACATTATTAATGTATATACACAATATAAATTTAAATACATATATATATAATTAGTATATATATATAGTAAATATATATATAATATAATTAATATATTTAATTAATATACATATATGAATATATATATATATATATATTCATATTATATACAAATAATATGATATATATATACATACAGTTATATTATATTATATATACACATATATTATAAAAATAATACATTGAACCACATGATGCCATGTTTTGTCATTGTGTTCACCGCTCTTTACCTTATCTATTGTTTGTGGTAGCAGAGTCGGGTGCAGCCCAGAAACAAATATCACTACCTGAGGGGGCCGACGAGCCGACAACCCAAATAGGTACCACCAAACCTGGATAGCTGGGAAATCCTTGAACGAAATGAAGGCCTATCAGGTTGGTTTGTCATCGAAGCAACTGTGCTTTTTTCCAGCAAACCATGGTTTGAGTACTGAGTACTGGAGGGTAAGTAAACCTTGCCAGGAAATACCAAATGTTAGGAAGATCGTAACATATCGTAACAACCACAGCCTATGTTTGCCCATTGTTTCCACGGTTTCGTTTCTTTTTCGGTGCAAACCTTTCAACGGAGAGCTAACCTTCACGGCTTCAATCCAAGCGACAGCACAGATCCATTTGGAGGAAGGATATGTGGAGGATGAGGATTTCCCTTCGTCCTCCTCCACTTGCTTCACAGCTCCGAGGTATAAACCCACCATGGCAGGTGAGCTATCTGAGGGTCAGGGCAGTCAGTTAGCTTGCTGTGCTCAAAGTTCGTCTGTTTTTCAAGGTGATTTCAACAAGATCTATGTGATGTTCATCAAATGTGTCGTTTTATGAAATCTATATAGCGGTTTTGATGTGATGATACACTATCATGCTATCATCGGCGTTTAAGGTGTGTTGCTTTGGAAAAAGAAACACATTGGCAAGACGTCGCTACCATGTCTAATCCAATGCTGCCATCTTTGTCATGTTTTTCTGCAGATATGGGCTGCTTTGACAATATGTGCATGAAGCATCATGAATCTATGAAATCTGGCACCCCAATATATCCCAAGTACATCCTCATAAACAGTATCTGTTGATTATAGCGCCCGTTATATTTCCATTATCATTATCGCTGTTGGTGCATTGGTTAACTCCCCATTATATAAAGGGATCTTGTACCGTTATCGAACCAAATCATGTAATTGATATATTGTACATCCCATGATGGAGTATGTGATAGTATAGGATAGTGTAAGTATGGATATATATTATATATATACTTATATATATACTTATATATATATATATACATATACTTATATATATATACATATATACTTATATATATATACTTATATAATCTTATATATATATATGTATACCACTATAATTCATTAACTCCCCCATGATCTTCCCACATCCCATGGCTCGACTGGGCAACCAGAGCCGCTCGAGCTGCTGTGGTGGCACTCCAACTGGCCTGAACTTCGCGGGAAAGAACTGGAACTTGAGTGATACTGCAGTGATGTCCACATATCTCTATAGCCACATGTCAGCTTATAATATGTATATATATATATACATATTAATTAATTAATTATATATATAATGATATTATAAAATTATATAATATATATATATACATACAGTCAACACAGATCCGCATCCGTGTCTGCTCCGTATCTTTCCTAGTTCGCTCAAATGATCCATAGGTTCATCTTGGGTGTCTGCACTGAACTCATCTACAGACAGCAATCATGGCAAGGGATGAGACTGGGGAGTTTAGCTTTCCAAGTTGAGCTACCCTCTGGTAATTTAACATAGCGAACTGGAAAATCACCATTTTTAATAGGAAAATCCACTATACATGGCCATGTTCAATAGCTATTTTGACATAACCAGAGGGTACCGGATCTTTCCACCAGCTGCCCCTTTCCGTTGAGCAGGTTTGAACATCGTGGTAAAATCCCTGGTGTTCTCAAGAATATCAGGTAATTTTAATCATCCATGCCCTGATGCCATCTGGTTATGACTAACATAGCCATGGAAAATCACCATTTTTAATAGGTAAACCATCTATTTCTATGGGCCATCTATACCATGGCTATGTTAAATAACCAGAGGGTAAATATCCTAGAAATGGAAGTAACATCCTACATTATACCACCATCGCACCGTGGTTTTGTCCCTGCTTCATTGGCGCCTGGTTCTTCCTCATGTCTTGTAGGACTGTGCCCATCAAGTCCAATCGTAGTGTTCCACGAAAGGCTTCCTAAGGGAGGGGAACAAAATGGCTGAATGCCGGTCCAGTAAGCTTACACCCTTCAAATATCTTCAAAATCTATGGATTGATTCAAGGGCACATGTAGAGGAACTCTGCTTTTCACCTTCAAACTATAAGGGGTTCCTGTAAACAAATGTGTAACCCACGTCTGAAAGAAGTAGAGCATCGAAGCACCACATGAGCAGTATGGGGTCAACACATTTACAGCACTTAAAGGCCATGGCATCATCTGTGGTGACATCATTCTGAGGTCGTTGTTTTTATCACCGATCTGTGGATCCAAAGCTTCAGGGAAACGTGGCTCACAACTGGGCAGCAATGGATCTCTAAAGCATGAGTCGTTGAGCAGGACCTGAAACCATCTAATTTGGATCAATTTTTCACATTTATCAGCATTGTAAAGCAATTGTTTTTCAGCAAACAGACACAATTTCAGTAGACGGTTCCACCAATGGCTTGCCATTGAGATAAGCACTCTCTGTTTAGTTCAGCACTGGCAACAAAAGAATCCAGCGGTTTAATGGGAACATAAAAGATCCTAACAAAAACACATTATCAATATATATATATATAATATAAATATATATATATATAATATATATAAAGATCTTCCATTGCAAGGGGTAAATTGCAAAGACGTGTTCTGGTGGACATCACATCTATTTTGGGAAACAACATTGGTTTTCATAATTTGTCATAAACCAAACTCCCCGAACAATAAACCCCAGCATGGGAACCCCAAATACACACATCCTGCACCAATCAGGGTATACTGTATATTTTTGTTACACGGGCATCTCCAGATATTTAGTCAATATAATCTACTTTGATATTCGATTTGTTGTTTAATATACTAACCCCCAGTAATACCCTGTAATACATTGTAATACATAATTACTCTACATTGATATCATCTTTTTGGGGGGTTCATCCCCCACGATACCACCATTAGGCCATTGAAAACTCAATGGCCTCGCGAAGTTCCCCGCGAAGCCTGCAGAGTTCAGGCCGAGGTACTGGGCTCTGCCAGATTTCCACCACTTCATGAGGTTCGAAGTTGCACACGTCGCCCTCCTTCTCCACTTCCCCTGACAGATCCCCCTGGCTTCCCTTGGCCTGGTTTGCAGGGTTTAACCTCCATGAAACCAGCATGTTTGAAGGCTGTCCTTGTAGGATCTTTTAGGTGGCTGTGCAAATTTGTGGAAAGAAACACCTGAGACTCACAATTTATCAAAAAATAAGATAAACCCAACGACCAACATGTCCAATCGTCACTTCTCATCTTTCAACCAAAGGATATTTTTGGGCTGCTCTGGGGTGATACCCCACTGTGAAACTTATGATTTATCAAAATTGTAACTATACAACACTAATGAGGTAAAAACCACGAATGAACCATCCCTAATCGGGCTTCATTGTTGGGTGTACCATGGTATACCCCTATTTGGGAAGATGTTGAATGACCCCAAAGGCTTACAACGATGGTTCATTCTTAGGTTTACATGCATTAAGTTTACCAGTCACTGGCAACAGGCCATGGTATTTTAGGCCCCAACAGCCAAATTCCTGGGCCTATGAGCAGCAACTGCCGGCTTCGGTCGACAAAGAGCAAGCTTTCCTTGGTCCATGAAATACTGGTTGCTTAAGTTAAGGATGGGATTCCCATAATGGAATAGTATTTCAATTCCCAACAAAGTATCATTATGGAATACCAAACTGTTATGGGAATCCCATCCTCAATATCATGATCACTGATGATCATCCTCAATATATATATATATATATCCATATATATATTTCCATATATATATATGGATATATATATATGGAATAGTACGGGAAGTTTTCTGGTGCCGAAAATCACCAACAGGTCCTGCACGCTGAAAAAGGTAGCATTTGGACGGACGACCCAAAATTCCGGTTTTTGTCCATGATATTCCATGATAATTGTATCAAAATAATTTATTCACTAAGATGAAACCGCAATGTAATATGGAATGTATGAATATAAGTATGAATATATCTATATCTATATATATGTATGTAGGATAACCAATAATGACATGTAGTTACGTTATTAACAAACAATAATCAATTATGATAACCAATAATCACTCATGAAAACCAATAATCAATTATAATAACCAATAATTGATTATGATAACCAATAAACACTTATGATAACCAATAATCAATGTGATCACCAATAATCAGTTATGATGACCAATAACCAATTATGATAACCAATAATCAATAATGATGACCAATAATCAATATGATAGCCAAAAAAAAATCATAACCAATAATCAATATATTGACAAATAATCAACATGATAACCAATAATCAAAAGTATAACCAATAATCAATTTTATCCCAATTAACAATATGATAACCAATAATCAATATGATAACCAAAAATCAATATGACAACCAGTAATCAATATGATAACCAATAACCAATATGATAACCAATAATCAATTATGATAGCCAAAAAACAATATGATAACCAATAATCAACAATGATGACCAATAACCAATATCATAACCACTGATCAAAATGAGAACCAATAATCAGTTATGGTAACCAATAATCAATACGATAACCAATAATCAACAATGATGACCAATAATCAATTATAATAACCAATAAACATTTATGATAACCAATAATCAATTATAATAACCAATAATCAATTATGATAACCAATAATCAATACGATAACCAATAATCAATTATGATAGCAAAAAACAATATGATCACCAATAATCAATTATGATAACCAATAATCAATTATAATAACCAATAAACAATTACAACAACCAATAATCAATGTGAAAACCGATAATCAATTATGATAGAAAAAACAATATGATAACCAATAATCAATTATGATAACCAATAATCAATTATGATAACCAATAAACAATTACGACAACCAATAACCAATCTGATAACCAATAATCAATTATGATAGCAAAAAACAATATGATAACCAATAATCAATTATGATAACCAATCATCAATTATGATAACCAATAAACAATTACGACAACCAATAATCAATTCTGATAACCAATAAACAATTACGTCAACCAATAATCAATGTGATAACCAATAATCAATTACGACAACCAATAATCACTTATGATAACCAATAAACAATTACGACAACCATTAATCAATGTGATAACCAATAATCAATTACGACAACCAATAATCAATTATGATAACCAATAAACAATTACGACAACCAATAATCAATGTGATAACCAATAATCAATTATGATAGCCAAAAAACAAAATGATAACCAATAATCCAATGATAACCAATAATCAACAATGATGACCAATAACCAATATGATAACCACTAATCAATTATGATAACCAATAAACAATTATAATAACCAATAATCAATTATGATGACCAATACACAATATGATAACCAATAATCC